CATACATTATTTGATTTTAAAGTTTGATCAGCTGGAATGGATAATCCTAAGTCTGCAATAAATGAAAAATTGCCATCTTGAAGAATGTTACCAGTGTGAAGATCATGATGAATGAATTTTTGTTCATGAATCTTTTTTAAACCTTCAATAATATCATTAAGAATTTCAATTTTTTGCTGCCATTGTAAAATTTTAAATTCTTTTGTTAAATAATTTAAAAGATTTCCATTTTTCATATATCTCATTACAAATATATAATCTTTTGTGATGGGATCTTGTGTTAATCCATAAATCCGAATTATTAAATCAGCAAATTGATGATCAAATTGAACATAATTTTTGAACTAATAAATAATTTAACAATTATAGTTAATTATTTATATTTTAATAAAAAAATAAATAAATGTAATATTTTACCTCATTTAAAAATTTATCGGAGATATTTTGTGAATTATGTAATTTTTTTAATACAACAATCATATCTTCACAACACCTTTCATTACTATTATGATTTACACATTTTTTACCATTTATCCATGTAGCTTTGTATACAGTTGCAAAACCACCCTCACCTATCTTTTCAATATCTTTTAATTTGTCATAAGAAATCCATTCAAGATAAGGATTAGCATTATTATATTTTGCTGTTTTAAGTTGTGTACTTTTTATTAATTCATCAATGGTTGTGTTACCACTGATCCATTTGTTTAGAATTTTTTTTGTTTCATATAAAATTTTTGCCATGGAAATTCTAAATAAATTTGAATTGTGAAAATATCCATGAAATTGTTTTAGTCAATGAAATTTATTATTACACGAATGGAAAATATCACGTGAAAATAGTTTGACTCAACAAAAGAAATATAATTAATAATAATAGTATAGTTGGCTCGGTCTAAAGGCCTCCTAAATTTTGGGCAAATTTTAAAAGTATAGAAGTCACTTTCTGTCCTACCTTTTAAAAAAATAGCTCTATTAGTTGATAGAATATGTCTTTAGTTTTAATGTAATAGAGATTTTCTCAAAAAAATTATTTGTTGTAGAGTTCTATTCTTTTTTAAAACATGTACTTTACTATGCTCGCGAGGAATTTGTCCACTATGATCATTTCTAAATTTAGGAAAAATATTACCAAATTTAGACTAGCTCTTGACTATTGTATCTAAATTTGGCAGTAAGAAAACTAAAATCACGTGAAGTCCTATTTTTTGAAAAAATTTATTACATTTTTGAACGAATTACAAAATTGCTATTTTGAAATTTGGCCGCATGGCGCAGCAATAGGAGTCTTTAGGCCGAGCCAACCATACATGCGATGATAATGGTAAAAAGCATTTTTAACATTTTATTAGAAACAATACCACACCAACCATTAAATTAGTAGTAACTAACACTCATGTCTCTTATAATTGATGTTCAATTGCTGTTAGTATAAAAGATCAAACAATTAATATTAAACCAGTTTTTGAATTTCAACCATTTAAAGACTGGACTACTGCTTTATCTAAAGAAATTCTTGCAACAGAAAAACAAGAATTAAAAGTTAATATAATTAAATTCAAAATGTTGATTATTTGGAAAAAATATAGATTTTGTTAAATTCAAGGCCAATACCAATGAAAATAATGGTAAATACTGACAATGATCTTATACAAGAGACAGATATATTTCTATTAGCAACTCATAAAGGAAGTTATGATCTTGGTGAAAATACGTAATATTCATGCAAAATAATTCTAATAAATTAAATTTGAGAGTGTAATATGTAAGAATGAAAGAATTAGAAAATTAACATTTAAAGATTAATAGATTGATTAGATCTTCTCAGTAAAGAAACTGGTTCACCGTGGAAATTAACAATTGATGATAATTTTTCATTTTGGGTTGCTGCTTCTAATGTTATGTTATTAAAAGATCAGATGACATCATTATTTCTCAAAGTGAGTAGTATTTATTATATTGGTTAAATTTAAAAACAAAATGTGAAGATTAGGTTGAATTTTAATAAATTCTTTAAATTCTTGACATTGCTAATCAATCCATTTATTGTTCGAATGATTTTAAGTGTTACAACACTTTGAGAGGACCTGTTTATTTTTGATATTTTATTTAGTGTAAATATGTATATACTGTATATACATTTGATAATTTCTTGTTTTACTGACAAGAGATTATGTGAACAAATGTATTTTTAATTAAAAATCGTTATTAGTTTTAAACGGTTTTTATTCTTGTTTCTGCCCATGTGTCAATTTTGTAAGTTAATAATTAAGATTTCCTATAAGTATAAGATACTTACCATTCATTATGTACACATCCATTATTAGGGTGGCAGAAGAGCTAAACTCGGTGCTAATGATAGTGGACGTATTGTTATGACTATTATATCATTGTGAATAAAAATTCCTGGATCTAATGCTCAGAATCAGAAAATTTCCAATCCTATTTCAGTTTTTAAAATTTTAATCTGAATTTTTGGGTTATTGGTCCGAAAAACCCGAAAACTTTTTGGATTGTATATACCAATTATATTGCACTACCACCTATCATAATTTTATACAACTGACGCAAGATGCAATTCGTGATGCAAGATGCAAGACTCAATTCATGGCCAAGCATGATTATGATAATTTTTTAGCCAACAAAACCTTTCAAGCTGTGAAAACATTGATGCTACACTCAAAACCCTTTAAAATCATGTAATAAATAAAAAGTTTAGTTTAAATTAATCCATACACACATCGAATTGCATCTTGCATCTTGAATTACGTCTTATATTATGAATTGCCTTTGCGTCACGCATAACACCAACATGTACGTATAATAATTAATATACATTAATTGTTCGCTTTTTATTGGAAGTCTAAACTTAACGCCCATTATGTTAATGGTTACTAGAATTAAAAACTGATTTCGCCCAACACCCTTAAATCAGTAATTTTTATAAATATAGTATCCAACAAAAGTTTCTTTTACACCTGTGAATAAACGTTATGAAACAAATTGAGTTGCTTTACTCAGTCATAAGAAAGTTGAAAGTACCAATTTTCCAGGCCAGTTATTTATAAGAAAAGCAATAACTTTGCTTCATAAACAAAAAGAAGATCAAGATATATCACCAGAGATACCTGACATTGTAAATAATTTTGTAAAAACAAAATAAAAGTAAAAATCGAATCATCAAGATCAAGATATTATGTGAGCTACACTTGATACTTCAGGGTCGTATAACGGTTTACGATGTTTGAAGAAAATGGCTTATCTATTTATTTATAAAATTTATACACACACTTTGACCCTTGACTCTTAATTCTATATACGTAGAATAACAAAAAAATTTGGTATTGTTTTGAAAGCATTTTTAGAATATTTGAAGTTTATTAATCTGTTGATAAAATAAAATCAACTCACTTTCATCAAAATGGTCAAATGCATTTTAAATGGAGAATAAAATAATTGGCAATCAAGAAATTCCTTGCGAGTGATAGTCCAGCTGATATTTGGTATATTTCATTTTGATATTTTTATGTCGTTCTTATTCAAATAAACAAGTGATTTGTTTTTGCTGTATATGAAACTGGGCGTTGAATATTTTCCTTTTGAATGACATAATATCTAATAAGGTTTCGTTCAATATTAGTATTTCTTTGTGATTTCGTTAAACCTCTCTAAATATTTATATTGCATCAACTATACGAATTAAATAAAGGTTGATTTTATCAGTCAAAATCAGATAGTATATCTTTGGATCCTTATCAGTGTTGGCCACCAAACTATTTTGAAGAGGCAAACTCAAAACTAAAATCAAAAGAAAGTTATTTATAAGTCGAAAATTCTAGTTTCGACTTATGGCAAAACTTTTTAACTTTTGCACAGTTTTGGAAACCAATACTAATCTTTGTTATGAATCATTATAGAAGCAATTCAGAAATGGATTATATAAAGATATGGAAGATGATAATGATGATATAGAAAGTGAAGAAAAAGATGCTCACATTAATAATGATATCATTAAAGCTCCGAGGTACTGATTTGATTCGAATTTAATTAAATGAGAATTCTTAAATTTGTTTTGACAAATTAGAATCAAACCCACATTCGGGGTTTTAAAAGTTACTTCACATATAAAAACGCATAAAATTCATTGGGGTGTGAGTTTAAATGCAATTTTCTTATGTGTTCAATATATTCGTTGAAACGAGGCTTGCTTATTCTAGTCGTAAGCAAGTTTTTTATCAATTTATCAATTTTAAATTTTTAAGTTTAAAAATCCGATCTTATTAGAATCGAATCCAGTGCTTTTTTGAATATGGATCGCTTTAAAATCTGACAAGATTCGATTTGTTCGAGCCTAATTAAAACATATAAAAAAATGGCTATGAAACTAATTGATGAGTGTAGATAGCTAGATTGAGCGATACAATGAAGTTATTAGTATTAGATGTATGTATGTTAATCGATTGATTTTTCGCAATCGATTATAAACTGATTAGATTGGCGAATTGAAACAACTGATTGTATATTGCGAGTATAAATTTAAAAAAAATGAATGTAATAATAATAAACCGTTTGAAAAATTATTCTATAAATTATGTAAATTGTTTAATGCAACAATCTTATCTTTGCAACATCTTTTGTAATTATTATAATTTTCACCATTTATCCAAGTAGTTTTGTATATAGTTGCAAAACCACCTTTGCCTATCTTTTTAATTCATCATAAGAAAATCCATTGAAAATATATAGAATTATAATATATATTAGCTTTATGTACTTTTTATTAATTCATCAATAGCTTCACTTCATTACAATTGTGGATCACATGATTACATCAATTACAAATTGGACATTCGCAATGTCTTTTTCTTCTTTTGTTTGAATATCCATTATTATCATTTGCGTTAATAGAAATATTATTGTGGTGCCCGTCTTCATTTAAATTCAAAAGATTTTTAGGGAAGGTGATTTTTGGGGGACAAAATAAAAAATTTGTTTAAAAAATGGAAAAAACTAACAATAATGTTATAAGTAATAAATCAAAGGAACCACCAAAACCAATCTATATATTTCGTAAACATGAAGAGCAAATTAATTTCTTGAGATTTTTTAATGAAAATAAAAATTTTTTTTCTGGGTAAAAAATAAAATAAATTGATAAATATTAAATATTAATAATGAAGATAATTTTGTTTATTCATATGTTATATTGTGTTAGATAGAGATGAAAATGGTGAACTTATTTTATGGAACTTTAAAATTAAAAGACCAATCATGAAATTCAATGCACATGATCAAGGTATTTTGAAATTTGATATATTTGAATCTTTTAACAATAATGATGATAATGATGATAAAAGTGATGAAAAAAAAATTACATTAATTAGGTAAGAAAAATATTTTAACATAAAAAATATATTAAATAAAATCAAATGCCAACATATTTATGCGTAATGTGTATATGTATTAGCCATGGAAGAGATGATTATTTAAAAGTCTGGAAACTTGATAAACTTAAACTTGATCAATTGAATGAAAAGTCGACCACCTTTACTAGTAGTGGTAGTGTTGGTGTTGAAAATGTTGAGAATTTAATAAAACTTGATAAAAAAATTATAATAAACTTTAGAAATTTTTGTAAATTTGGTGCATGTGAAAAAGGTATGTTATGTTCACTAGATTTAGATTTATTATATAAATCTATAATTAATATATATTCAAACTGTATATTTATTTATTAATGATTATTTATTCTAAAAAAGTCAGAAATTCTAAAGATTTTTTGATAGCTGTTCCAAGCAATATATCAACCAATGATGTAAAAATTAAAAACATCTGTTCTGACTATTTATTTCTCTTTCTCATTTCAAAATTTGATCAAGTTTGTTAATTATTAATTAATTCTATAGATTGATTTAATATTTTCAACAAATCCAAAAAAAATCTTGAATTCAACCAAACTTGATGGAAACTCAGGTTTTGTTTCCATTTTTTTTTTCTTCAATTAATTTTTATATTTTTATTTTAAAAATATATTTATATTTATGTTATTTCTAGGACGGTGCATGGCATTGAAATTATTTCATAATCCTAATGACAAAACACCACATAATTACTTTATGTTATTAATTTATGATAATGGATATGTTAAATTATGGACAATTAATAATTCTATTGATGATGATAAAAAATCGGAAAGAAAGGATAATGAATGTGAATGCAAAGTAGTTCAAAATTGGTGTAAAAAAGAACATAAAGGACATGGTATTATAAGTCTGCCTTTTTTAATGTGTGTTTTTATGTGCAGTTATAATGATGGATTGACTTTATACTAATTATTATAATGCAATGTAATGTAATAGGTATGGCAATTGATGTTTCATTAGATAGAAAATTTGCAATCTCAACAGCTAGTGACAACAAAATTGTTAAATATACTTTTACTGAGGTTTGAATTGAATTTTTATCCCTAAAAATAAACAATTCTAATTTATTCTTTATTCCTTTATAATCAATTAATTAATTTAACTAATAATAATAATATCTAAAGTCCTTAGCAAATGAACCAATAGTTGATAGTGTATTGTTAAAATATTCGGGAATCTCTGATGTAAGAATACGTTCTGATGGTAAAATTTTTGCTACTGCTGGTTGGGATTCAAAGTAAGTAATTATTGATATTCACCATTATCATTATTATTATTATTACTATTATTAAATTTATTATTATTATTAATTTAAAAATAAAATAAAGAATACGGGTTTTTTCTTCTAAATCTTTAAAACCACTAGCAATACTATCATATCATCGTGATAGTGTTTACACTATAGACTTCACAAAAATCAACACCTTTGTCACTACAAAAAACATTGATCGAAATAATAACAATTACTTAATTGGTGGTGGAAAAGATCAAAGAATTAGTCTATGGGAAATTTATTAAATATGCATGTATTTTTTATTTGCAAAAATTATATTGATTTTAATAAAATAGATTTTATAATTCTAATTTTTAACTCACTAAACATCTTTTGAACAGACTTTGCAATTTCTTTAATTGGATCATGTGGATGACAATTAGTTGCTGAGTAGAAATCTATTATGACAATGGACTTTTTTCAGATCTGCTTTGTAATAGCTATTATTATCAATAATTGATTGTCAAGATTGGATTGCTCAGCACATTTCATTTATCTTCTTTTCTATAACTTGTATTGATACCCTAATTTAAATTAATAACTGATTCTAATATTCTTGCCCAATTTAATTTGTTGGTCCATTCCCTAATATCAATTCAAATAATTTAAGTGATTTTAAAGAACATTTGCAAAAAACTAATGAAATAAAATGAAATCACTCACAAGATTATTATTAGTATTTAAAGCATTTTATTTAATTAGGTTTTCTCTCTCTGCGATTTTTTTACATCACATTTCCTTCTTCACTTGTTGTTTATTAACAGTTTCTTTTCCTTTGCTGGCTCTTCATTTATCCTGGAAATCCCTTCCCTTTACACTTTCAATTTTATTTCGCAAATTGCTAGCAGTTTCTATGCTTTTATCTTTTACACCTTTGACAACTTCTTTAGCCTTATCAATTAAACTCCTAGTTTATTTCTTTGCATTTCAAAGTAATTCTTGTGCCTTTGTTTTTACACCTTTAGCAGCTCCCTTAATTTCAACTGCTAAATTTCCAATAGCCCCCTTTCCTTAGTCTTTTGTCTTTCACATCTTCAGTAATTTCTTGATTTTTGACTCCTTTGATAGTGTTTTCGCCGTTGAAAACCTTTCTGCCTTTGTTGAAGGCTATTCTTTACTTTTCCTTGATAATCGCAAGCATCAAGGTTGCACAGAACAGAAAAGAAAACGGGCGCGCTTCTATGACCCCCCAAACAATATACAATTTGTGACAGAAATATTTACTGGCTTTCCTTTTTTCTTATTGTTACTGTATATTCAATTTTAAATAAAGTCATTAAAGGAAAAAAATAAAATTAAAGTCCTCAAAATAAATAATATTTAAATCTCTTAACCCACAATTTTTATTTTTCAAAATATGAAAAGCATTCAGGATATTTATACTGAAATTTTATTTCCAAGATGAAAACTTGCAAATCACCTTTATTCTAAAATTGAGATTTTTATTCCAAAATGAACAATTCTTATAAACAAATCCTTATTACTTTGATTACAATCTTCGCCGTCAATTTCACTATCACCATATTTCGTTTTCATTTTTTCATTATTGTAATAATTGTTTGGCTATTCAAAATGAAAAAGTAAAAGTTATTATATCTATATTAATCCTCATCTGAAAAATAGTGGGTGGTTTGATTTTTATTGTTACTGATAATGGCGATAAAATCGATCAAATTAAAATTAAAAAAAAGAATCGGGGAATATGGGTCCTTGATAGAATGTAATTATTCAATGAATGAGCAGAAATTATTATCAGAATGGAACTTGTCTTTGATCTTTTTCGTCTTCCTCCCCTTTCGACAGAGTAAGGGAAAAACTAAGGTGTAGAATAAATGTTTTCCAAGACGGAAAATGATGGTATAATATATTGGCGCCATTCACCGTCTACTTCATCTAGATCCAACCAAAGAAATTTATCTTGAAATGTAAAATCGTATGTTAAACATATTCATGGTTTTACAAAAATCAATCTCTAGTTGTTGTCGTTACGGTGAACCTTATCAATTTGTTTTTAAATAAACTGGTTACTCGTTATTGTTATAAGATCTTGTTGATCAAAATAATTTTATCAATATATGGAAAGGGAAATTGTCACATAATGATGGCAAAAAACATTGATAAAATCTATATTTTAACAAAATTTAATAAATTCTTTACTTCAAAAGATTTTGGCTTACAAGTAACGACGAAATTACCAAAATTTTATTTTAACAACGGAAGTATTATAAATGTTAATAATAATAATGTTAATTTAATACGATTTTTCAAAAGTAAGATCTTTTTAAAATACATTGGAATTAATTGATCAATTGATTGATCAATTTTTTTTCTTTTCATCAACAACAATAACTAGCAACACCCCGTTTTAATTCAACAATTGAAGTTACAAATGCACAAGAACAAGTCCCAATACCATCATCTACATCATCATTTTCACCTAATGAGATTGAGTTGGTTAATTATGATCCACTGATGGAGTTAACAAAAAGTAAAAATAATATACCAAAATTGAATCAAATTTTTCAAGGCATGAAATCCAAAAATATTAAACCTGATATTGCAGCCTATAATATTTTTCTAGAAGCTTATTCAAAATACTCGGATTCAGTTGAATCCACAAAAGTTTTACGAGATATGCTAGAAGGTGGTGTTAAACCTAATTTAGAAACAATTAATATCATATTAAAGGTAAACAAATAAATATTATTATTATAATACAAAGATCAGAAAAAAATTTACTTTCTATGGGTAATGATGTTTTTGAATTGGATGCTTTTAATTAAGATTTCATTCTCACATTAATTATCTTTTTTTTTTCCAAAAAAAAAAAAAAGACATGTGCAAAAAAAAGTTTTATCTTACAACAAGATCCAATTCTTCGAGAGTTTGCTTTTGACTTAATAAGTCAATTTCAACTTGAACCAAATGTAACTACATATGAATATTATATTGATGCAATGATAGAAAATAATGAATTTGAACGTGCACTAGATTTCTTTATAACAATCAAAAGCCAAAATTTTAAACCATCAGTTCAACTTTATCAAAAGATCATTAAAGGTTTTATAGGTTCTAATGACGATGTTATAGTGCTTGAATTAATGAAATTATCCGAAGAAGATGGGTATAAATTGTTTGCTAATATGTATTTGGACATTCTAAGAATTTGTGCTTATCAATATAATGTAAGTTTTATTTTATTGAATTATATAAAAATGATAAAAAAAATTATTATTTTCATTTAATTGATTTTTGTGTTTAGGTGGAAGGTGCAATCAAGTGTTGGGATATTGTTACTAAAGATGGAGTCGGGCTGGATGAGGGTTTATGTATAAATTTGTTAAACTTAGCATCAGTGTCTGGCGAAACAAAACTAGCAACCAAGGTGATTAAACATTTAATGACTGCTCATAAATTATTTGATTTAGAATCATACCATTTAGAACCATTCCTTGAAACATTTGTTACTAAAAGCGATTTGAAAAAAGCTTTTGATATATTAAACATTATAAGATCTTCAAAATATATACCTACTATAAAAACAATTTCATCAATTGTTAAATACATAGAGAAAAGTACTGATTTGATTGACAAGGCTTATTGTACATTAGAAGAATTACACAAAGAAGGTAAAAAGGTTGATATATTAGCATTTAATGCAATTATCATTGCTTGCAAGAGAATTAACAATAAGCCAAATAGTGCTGATTTGAAAAGAGCTGTCGAAACTTTTAAATCAATTGAGAAATTTGGCATAAAACCTGACTTGGACACATTCAATGCTTTAATAAATGTGTCTGTCTACTCTCGCCATAAGGAATTAGGCGAGGAATTTTTCAAGGAGCTAAAGGAAGCTTATGGTCTTAAACCAAACATTGACACTTATAGGCGTATGATATTTTTGTGTTTGAATCAACCAAATTATGAGGATGCCTTTAAATATTTAGAAGAAATGAAATCAAAAAATATATTGCCAAGCATTGAAATCTATGAAAGAATTATTAGAAAATGTGTTATGAATAATGATGCAAGAGCTAAAATAGCTTTGGAAGAAATGAAAAATTTGGGTTATAGACCTACAATGGATATTATTGATTCTGTAAAATTTGGAGGTTTGATGAATAGAAATTCTAAAAACTTACTAATCACTACTCCAAAAGATAATAATAATCTTCAACAACAAAAAAGATATCCACAACAACCATCACAATCACAATCACAATCACCACCACCACAACCATCACAACAACGTGATAATGATCAACAACTAATTAATCAGGATAATTTATTGAAAATGCTAAATGAAGCATCATTCAATCAAAATAGAGGAAGTGAACCAACTATAAAAGATGAACATATTGCTCAATTAGATGCTTTCTTTGAAAAAATTCTTAACCAAAAAGGCTAAAATATTCATATATTTTTATATATTATTTATTATTTAATTAATCATTTTTGACACATTGGACACATTTGACAATTTGATCATGTTTATCTATTTTCTTCTTCCTTCTCACAGGAATGCTTAAATATGAATAAAACACATTGAGATTTCTTATTTATATAATATAATAATTATAATAATTTGAGTTTATTCATTTTTGTATTTTCTTCACTATGCACTCACACATACATACATACATGATTTCCTTTTAATTCTCATGTTAGATATTTAAAATGTCTAGTATTTAAATTAATCATTAATATATATAAAATAAATGAGAAAATTGATTAATCAAAAAGAAATATGCATGGCCTTTTATTATCATTTGTTTACTCAATTATAATAATTATTGATTGATTTTCCATCTGTCATCATCATCTAATTCTTATACACTTAATGATTGATCAATTTTAAAGAAAAAAATTTTTTTTTTATTTGCTTTATTATAAATATTAATATGATAATTCTGTTGTAACTATATATCATATAAAAACTAATTATTATAATTTGGTTTAAAAAAATTTTTTTTGAAATTAATTTCATTCAAATATAAGAGATTCTCAATTATTAACAATAATTCTTATTATTTTGTATCAAACATCCATTAATTAGCATGATAACTATCCAAGTCCTCCCCATACTCCTCTAATTCTTCTGGCCAACTGAATATCTTTTTGCATTAATGTAACTCTTTTAGCATGGATGGCACACAAATTTCTAATTAATAATCAGAAGGATGTTTATTATTATATTATAATTATTAATAAAAATAATATTATTATTTATAGATTGAAAATTTTTAATTTAAACATACGCATCCTCAAATAAATGAATCAAAAATGCTTCAGTGGCTAGTTAAAAAAAATTTTTTTTTTTTAATTATATATTCACACATACAAAGAATTCCAATTAACAGAATATTTACCTTCTTGAAGTGCCAAAATAGCTGTTGATTGCCATCTAAATCCCACCTGAGAATCTGGCTCAAGTATTTCCATGGCAACCTCTCGAACCTATATATATATATATATATCCAATCATTATTAAAAATATTTTTTTAATAATATAATAATAATCTATATTATTCTAATCACTAACCACTCTAGAAAAAGGCAATTTTCTGAGAAGGAGATTTGTTGTCCTTTGATACTGTCTGATCTCCCTTAAAGCTACAGTGCCAGGTTTGTATCTTCTTGGTTTTGATGGTCTTATAGGATCACCAGCTTTTTATTTTACAAAAATATTATTTAATTATTCCTCCGCACACACACATATATTTAATCGATTTATAGCAAATGATAAATTTTCTCAAGTTTCAATGTTATAAAACCATAAAAATAAATTTTTACGTCTAGTTTTTATAGCCGTGGGTGTGCTTGTTGTTGATGGAGTGATCCATCTTGGTAATTTTTTCACTGCAGCTGGTCTACGCTTTGCTTGTGGTTGTGTTCTAGCCATGACACATTCAAGAGAAATTGTGTAGGTTTATAAATTATAAAAGATAAATTAATCAGTTTATAAGTAATTATAATTCACCAATTCACTAATTCACATTCACAAAAATTATTTATTTAAAGAAAAAATTTTTTTTGAAAGATTACCACGCGTCATCTTGTCAAATTTAGAAATAACGTGTTGTACAAAGTTTCTTAAAAAAGAAGAAATAAAAAAGGTTTCGACATACGGGCCAATTTTGTTTGATCTGTCTATTACTATGAATCATAAATCTCAGAGAACATATTTGTGTATTTTTTATTGCCTTTAACTATGGTTTTTTCCTCTTTAACTGATTTTTTCGTGTAACATTTATTATATAAATAAAGCTAGCTTTTGCTTGGTTCTGATCTTGAATATTCATAATAATATTACATAAAAATCATCTTTTGACCAAGTGAATTATCTATCAAATTTAATTAATTAGTTAATCGGATAATTAAATAATTCTATATTAATAACTCAGAGCTTTACTTGAGAGGCAGAAAAGCTAATATAAAACAAATAATTTGTTTTGTAATAAAAATTTTTACAATTTAACAATCAAACAAATTAATTCTTTTTTTTTTTAAATAAAACACTTTTGTGGTTGGAAATTAACAGTAGTAGTAGGGTTTAATTGTCTGTCCTAAATGTGGGTTAGTTTCAGCCGCATTCATAAATTCTTTCAGATATTTGATTATTCAAAAAGGAGGATTAATGAATGGAAACACTACTTGTAAAAGATTTACTCTTGGAGGTAGAAATTATTTTTTTCATTAATTAATAATTTTTATTGTATTTGTTAAGTTAGAGCTAGCATTAGTAATTTCAACTGCTTGATTTTGGTGATAAGAACTAAATCTAGATATTCATGACTTAATTTGTTCTTTGATTCATTGGGGTGTGCAACATTCTGGGAAGATTAATGTCTTATATTCAATGTGTGGACACACAAAAATATAAAATTTGGGAATGCATCAGTCAAATTCAATTTTAAAAAATCATACTTTATTTTTTTTAAAAAGAAATTAAAATCATTTTTAATATATATAAAATTTAATAAATCTAAAATTTAGACAATACAAACATATAAAATTGTTTAAAAAAAAGTTTTTATTCTATTCTTTAGCATCCTCAATTCCACCATTACCAATAGCAAATGTTGCTTCAGCTTCTGGTAGACATGGTGAATCATATATTTTACATATACGATTTTCTTTAGAAGCTTTACGAAAATAAAGTCTTTAAAAAAAAGTTCAACAAGACATTAATCAAAGTTACAATATATATACACAAATAGATTTAGTGATATATAATAATAATTACCTTGTAGTTGAAGTATGTGCCATGATATTTCCTCCTACTGGTTTCTTAGTATCACCACCAAACATAGCCATATTACCATCAACAGTAGCAACAACTTGATTTGTCACAACAACAGCCACACCAAACTATATAAATAATGTGTCATTAATTAATTAATTCAATTATCCATTAATTCATTCTACAGTAATCACAAAAAACATATATATATATATATACTTCATCAGCCAAACGTTGGAGAGATCGCAAGAATTTTGCTAGATGCATTTGACGTGCAGCCAATTCACCCCTTCCAGCATAATCAGTTCTATACAAAGCTGTTACACTATCAACAATTAGTACAGCAAATCTAAAAATTGTTAAGAAAAGAAAATCAATTGATTTATTACAATAAACCATAAACTTAAGAATTAATATTAAAATTAATTGAACCTTGTCTCTGCCATCATTCCAGCAGCATTAACTAAAAGATCAAATTGATGGTCTGTGTTATAAGCTCTTGCTACTGCTACATTGTCTAATGCTTCTTCTCCATTAAGTCCAAACCTTTCTGCAATGGCAACTAATCTTTCAGGTCTAAATGTATTCTCTGTATCAATGTAAATACATTTTCCTTCAGCACCACCCACACTTGCAGGAAGCTAAAAATACATTATAATAGAATAAATATTTTAATATCACTAAATAATAAATATGTTGATAAACTATTTACTTGACATGAGATAGCAAGCGTGTGACATAATTGACTTTTTCCAGTACGAAATTCACCAAACAATTCAGTTATTGAACCTGTTTCAATTCCTCCTAATATAAAATAAAAGAATTACATCAGATCAGATTTAATTATATATTTTAAATTTGATGTTTATAGGCCACAGAAAACATTTCATTACCTCCTAAAATATTATTAAGCTGGTCGGATCCTGTTGTGATGTAAATAAGTTCATGTCTTATTTTTTGGACTTCTGTTGCTGGTTGAAATCCTAAATTTATTAATTTACCAACTATCCATAAATATAAAAGTGTATATCAATCAAATCGTGTGAATATAAATAATAGTAATAATAATAATAATAATAATAATAATAATAATAATAGTAATAGTAATAGTAATAGTAATAATAACAATAATACCTTCAGTTAGTATTTTTTCAACTTTTGCTTCGGAAATTCCCTTAATGCTTAATAATGCTTTTCTAGGTGTATATGCAACTGACTCAAGCGTGTGAAAACCATTATCTTTGAGTTTTTTGATATCAGTAGTATTTATTCCGAATTGCTTTTTAATTTTATTATATATCAAATTATTAAATTATTATTATTTAGCTCCTATAATAAATACTTTTTTAGCTTTTTACCTCTAATTTTTCAATTGCCGTATAGCCACAATTATATTCTTCAGACACTTCTTCTTGAAGCTCTTGCTCTTCTTTATTATTGGACATTGTTAAATATTATTTATTAAAGAATTAGTAATTAAATAAGTGAAAAAGAAGGAAATTGTTTTCGAATATCGTGTTTTTATATCCCTTTGAAAACAAATATGTCCTACCTAACTGACGCGTCTCGCCTTATTTGTCATACCAGAATTTTTATATTTGCAAAACGAGCAATTTTAGCCTAGTACTAGATAATAATTATTAGGGCGCTGACATATATTAGCTAATATCATTTTAAATACGATGCGCTGACATATATTAGCTAATATCATTTTAATAGTAGCGCTTACTCCCCCACCCCCAAGTAAGACATTTTGATCACGTGTATGACAATCATTTGCCTTTTTAGGTATCAACAAAGCACAAGCGAAATTATGTGAATTCGCAATTCACATATGTGAAATTCAAATTTACATATGTGAAATTCAAATTAGCCAATCAGAAT